TATAAATTCTGCAGGTAGCTGGCTGGCTAGAAACCTGATTGCACTATTTGTATCGACCTAATTATGCACAATTGCATTATATTATTGTTAGGACAATGACATAGAGATAATTTTTTAATATAATTATTTATATATTATTAAATGAATAGATGCACTTAATATTATAGGTTTCAAATAAATAAATAAAAAATTAATTATTTAAATAATACATAAAATTATCGACCTAATTATGCACAATTGCATTATATTATTGTTAGGACAGTGACATAGAGATAATTTTTTTATATAATTATTTATATATTATTAAATGAATAGATGCACTTAATATTATGGGTTTCAAATAAATAAATAAAATTAATTATTTAAATAATACATAAAATTATACCAAAATTTAATAAAAAAAAAGGTTATCTTGAATCATTTTCCTTGTTATTACACCCTTAATTGTTAACGTATCACACCTTTGATATTAATTAACTATTATATTTGTAAATTTATTTTATATTTCAGTTTATATTTTTTAACAAATTTATTTTTAAGTAAATTTTATTTCACAAATTTAAAAATTTATTGAAAAAAGGATTTGAATTTAGTTTTTTAAGCTTAAAATTAAAAGGCTAAATTTAAAACTTCAAATTTATGACAAAATACCAGCCAAAAATTAAATTTACTAAAATGCTCCACCAAATGGCCCAAAGCAATTTTAAAGACACGTCTTAGTACATTATTTTAGTATTTAAAAAATAATAATTTCATTAAGTGCTACCCTAAACTTTAACTTTAAACTTATCTTACAAATTATTCTACAACAGTACCGTCCCATTTTCTTTCAAGATTTGGTGGAGGCTTATTTTATGTCCTATACAAGGGGGAAATGCATTAATTAAATTCATCATAATAGGGTTTTTCAAAAAGTTCATGGTACCCTTAATATAACATTAATCATACTTAAACAATAATTATTAAAAAAATTTAAAATAGTTGTTAAAATGTTATAAAAGTTAAAAAAGTTTGAAAAAACCACTCACCTCTCCCATGTTCATCACCATCAACCGGCAGTCATGAAAGAGTACTGTGACGGAGGGATTTAAAAAAGAAAAATTAGGATTCTGCCCAACATCGTGATTTGAACAAGGGGGATTTCAAAATTTTCTTTCATACCCCATCATCTTGCTAGGGTTTGAAGGAGTAGTACGTTCTCATTGTCTTTGTTATTTGGTTTCTTTAATTTTGTGATGAACTAACCATGACTACTGAAGACCTTGAGTTTGCAAATTCAGCGGGCTGAGAAGAATCATAAGCACTTCTTTCTTTCATGTTATCCTTTTCTTTTATTGGTATCAATTTTCTCTCCTGTCATCTCTACCATTCTTGTCATGCGATCTATTCCAGTATTCTCCGCTCAGCATCATTCATTACGTTTTCTTTTTCGCTAACACAATCATCAGTTTATTTTGCCAACAACTTCATTCGTTTAAATAAATTGAATTTTTAATTTAATTATTCTAAGGGTACTATGAACTTTTTAAAAAAAACCCTAATACACTTAGGATGAATTTAATTAATATATTTTTTACTTGTATAAGACATAAAACTATATACGCCGCACACCAAATCTAGAAAGAAAATGGGACGGGCCACTATAAGAAATTAACGCATATATTAATTAGATAATTTTCACGGTCATTGAATCTTTACATTTAATTAATTGATCAGTATCATGAAGGATATTCTCTTTTTCTGTATAAATTCAACCATTAGTCATTATTAATTCATGTAAATTAAAGTGTTAATGGATGGGGCACCAACCATCTTTTTTGGTTTTCTTTTTGGCAATATCAGTATAATCTTCCTTTTTAATTGAATGAACGTAAAAGGTCACCTAACGGGATTGAATAAGTTGTTAAAAAGATCTTCCATTGTTCTTCGTTTTTTGGTCATCATCTTCCATTGCTTATTAAAGGACTGTTTTTTAAAATTAAAACAGCAAAAAATTAATGTATGTATTTGTCTTCTGAATTTTAAGACTAATGATAAATAAATGCAATATAATTTCAAAAAAAAAAAAAAAAAAA